TTGCAATGGGTTGGAACCAATTCAACGGCACTTAAAAAAAACAACAACAACAAGATGATTGAGTAAAGCAAGTAGGAGACAAGAGTAGGCGTGCTCTGTGATTGGTGATCACGCTCGACACCGATAAGGGGAAGTGAGGGAAAAATAGCAATGAAGCTGCGAGCTAAGCCCTACAAAGTTCAATAGACATCTGTGAACCCAGGTGAAGACCTGGTTGGACAACAGTGTGGCAAGACCTGGGGACTCTTGGGCCCAGAGTCAGTGACATAGCCACAGAGGACTAGAGTGGGGGTTGAGGCTTCAGCTGATAAGAAGAGAGGGCATATGCATAAGAACACCCACACTTGCAGATAATACCCACTTATCCTGGCTTCAGTGACTGGATGATCAGAGCTCAACCAGAAGTAAAAAGAAGAGGAAAAAAAAGTATTCTCATACAATTTGACGAACTTGACCTACACCGATGGAAGCAGTTTCAAAAGAGGGAACAAGTCCTTACAGCAAGAATCATTCCCACCCCCTCCACACACAGAGTAGACAGGGATGGGCAACTTGGACATTGGCTACCCAAAATGGGGAGCAGGGAGCTACAAAGGCAGGAAGTGACTGGCTTACAAGCTTTCAAGAGGGAACCTAGACCCAGAGGGCCTGGAGGAAGGTAGAATCTCCAGTGAGTAGTATTCAATCTGACTATGCGGGACTGATGCAATGAAATGCAGCCGGGTCTCTTGTGATACAATAGTGAATAATTGTTATCAGGACTGATTGTGAGGGTCGGAAATGTAAAGGTAGACGTTTTATAGCAAGGAGGGGAGTGATTAACTTTTCAGTCTAGGAGCAGAGGTCCCTAGGACCATCAAGGGAGAAGAGCAGAGAGCGGGACCCTACCCAGAGAAGCAGTGATGCCTGAAATGGAGCCAGAGATGATGATGTGGAGCTATGGAGCAGCTGGAGACTCTAGACCCAGAGAGGGAGAGCGACTGTGTGCTGAATACCTGGGGGGCCGGGGGAAGGATTGCATGGAGGGGATTGTAACCATGGCAATGAGACGATATATGGTAGAATGAATGTAAAACTAATGTTCTCCCATGTAAACTATCACATAATTCACAATAAAACATTTAAGAAAAAAAAAAAAAAAGAGTAGGTGTGCTTATGACTTCAGGAATGTTTGATGTTGCTATTATCATCAAGTGCCATCAAGTTGGTTCTGACTCATAATGACCCCATATAGGGTTTCTGAGGAGCAAGTGGTGGGCTTGAACTATAGACCTTGTGGTTTGTAGTCCAGTGCTGATCCTACTGGAATGTTTAATAGACACTTATAAATTGTACAATAACCCTGATTTCCCCCTTCACAACAGTTGTATGCATGTGTATTTGGGATTTTCAATCAAACATAAAGCCCCATTTTTCTGCTAAAGTCAAAAAAAAAAAAAAAAAAAAAAAGCGCAGTCTTCATTATACTAAAAACACAGTAGGGTATATTGTTGTTATTGTTAAGTGCTCTTGAGTCATTTCCGACCCACAGCAACCCTGTATAGAGTCCACAGTGCCACACCAGGACTCCCCCAATAGAGTATAAAGCTCCCACATTTAGATGCTGAGAAATGCAAATACACCATAAGCAGGCACATTGTGGCAATCTCTCTACAAGGATCTCAAAGGTTCTCTCATTCAAACTCCATTTTGCCTCAGGCCTGCCTCCTCCAATACCTTCCACCTTGGGGCCCCTACTCACTTTTCCATCACCTTCTCAAGAAAAATGCTGACAGCAAGCTGGAGCTTGTCCAGAAAGGTCAAGGTAAGAGGGCTGAGCTCTGTTGGACACTCCTAGCAGAGAAGACTACCACAGTCTCCTCTGTGCCCCTAGATGCACAAAGTTCCATCCTAGATTGTCATTCATTCATTCAAAAACATTTATTGAGTTAGAAGTTATACCCAAAGCTGAAGATGTAATGATAAATAAGACATATGAACTCCAGCCCTCACCTCACAGAGTATGGAATCTAATAGAAGAGGCAGATAATGACATGATCAATTCTGTGATTTTCAAAAATAATGGTTTTTATGTGAATATTATCAATTGCTAAGTAGGTTTATTATTTTAAAACTACTAACAACAAAAGAATGCTTGAGAGAGTTGCATACTTTTTCACATTTTATAGAGAAATGAATGCTTATTTGCAGTTTTAATATGGATTTATTTTATTAATTGAATGATTGAATACTTTTTCATGTCTTTATTTATCATGATATAATGTCTCATCTGGGAATCGTCTGTTCTTTGTCTCTGCACAGTGATCTATTGGAATATCATTATTTCCATTTTAAATATTTGGCAGTTTTTATACATTAGGGAGTTTTTACAAAGAGTTTCCAAGCTCTTTTTTTTGGTGACTTATGTCTGTTGATGCATTTTAATAAACCTATGTATTATTATTATGATACATGCTCACTGTATGGAATTAGGAACTCATGGGAAAAATAAGGGTTGGTGGTTGTGTGTCGTTGAGTCAGTTCCGACTCATAGTGACTCTGTATAGGGTTTCTGAGGCTATAAATCTTTAACGGAGCAGAAAGCCTCATGTTTCTCCCATGGGGTGACTGGTAGATTCAAACTGCTGACCTTTCAGTTAGCAGCCCAGCTGGTAATCCATCATGCTACCAGGGCTCCTTATAGGAAAAATAGATAAATAATTATCATGTAGTTGTGTACATACAATTTTAATTGTTTCAACAGAAAATATATATATACATTGCTCAAAAATTTTAAATTACAGAAAAACATACTGTGATATTCTAGGTCTTACACATTAGCCCTAAAAGCCACAGTTTTGCTCTTGGAGACCAATATTTCTTGTTTCTAAAGTAATTTCTACAGTAAGATGAATGTGATAGTTGGAAAAGTAGAGTGCCATGAGGACACATCAGGGATATAGATAAGCCAGCACAGGTGTCAGGAAATGAATGAATGCATGAATGAATAAATAACCAATCAAATAAGTACTAAGGGTCCAATTCTAGGGGAGGAAGAAAAGATAAAGAGAAGGAAAAGGGAGGGAGAACCAGAAGCCATGGATAGCTAGTGCCTTAAACTCTTGCACAGCTACTAGACAACCAGAGCCTCCCATGATCCCCAAGGTGACGCTGTTCCTTGCCGGCCATTGATCTAGAAATGACCAATTAATCAGACAATAGAAATATCCTTGGAGTGGCATGTTGCACTGGGTATTGGAACCCCTGTGTCTGAAAGGTTCTGCACAAACCTGCAAATACTTGTGTACATACCAGACCCTATCCCCGGATGTTGGTTTCTTTTTTTAAAAAAAAAGAGCTCGGATGAAGCTTGTGTCATAGCCTCAAGGGATTCTCAGGAAAGAACCTTATTGGGCAGTTTCTTTCTCTCTCAAAGCTGCTATGGGGTTTTCTACAGTAACTGTCACCAGAAGAGTGGACTGATAACTATTGATAAGCCTAAGGCAGATATTCATATCCTCTTTATTGAGGTTGAGAGTGGCCCAAAGTCACCGAGCCATGGGAGTTAGAATTTGAGCTCACATTTACCTGATTCAATGCCTTCACTATCTACCTCTCACAAGGGCTACGATGCTTGAACAACACAACCTCTTCTTTAGGGATCCTGGGGAAGCACACAGTTCTAATATACCACCGTGACCAAGTGCCCAGAATATTTATGGAGAAGTCATTTTATCCATTAGCCCACCACTGGCATAAGAAACTTGGGTCTATGGGATTTCTAACTACCTCAAACAATGTATTTTGAAGAAAGGTCTACTTCTGAAAAATCAGTCACTGAAAACCCTATGGAGTATAGTTCTACTCTGACACACATGGTTCACCGAGAGTTGGCATTGACAGCAACTGGTTAAATAATATATTCAATACCCAAAATAACTATTAGCTCAAGAATTTAAAAAGAAAACTGCAAAATTTAAATGAATGTTTAATAAAATAGACTCAGTCTATCAGTCAACTGTAATTTAATCCAACTCTTATTTGTTATTGTTGTTGTTAAATATCATCAAGTCATTTCAGATTCATAGAGACCCTGTTCAGGATCTCCAAGAAGCAGTTGGTGGATTTGAACTGCCAATCTTATGGTTAGCAGTCCAGTGCTTATCCTACAGCACCAGGACTCCAACTACTATATAGAAATAGTTAAGTGTCATCTAGTGTGTTCCGATTCATAGAGACCCTGTATGGGATTTCTGAGGATCGTCTGGTGGGTTTGAACCACCACATTTTGGTTCAAATAAAACTTGCCGTCTAGTGCTTATCCTACAGCACCACACCAGACCTCTAAACTCTTACATTGTTGTTGTTGTTGTTGTTGTTAAGTGTTGAGTCAGTTCCTATGTAGGGTTTCCGAGGAACAGCTGGTGAGCTTGAACCACCAACCTTGCAGCAGTTCAAACAGCTTTGCAGTCTGGCGCATTAACCCACAACGCCACACCAGGACTCCGAAACTTTTACATAGGTATGGTATAAAGTATAAGTCCTAAGAAGATAGGGAACCACGTTTTTCCCTTAGTAAGCTTAGAATTATAATAAAATTAAAAAACCACACGCAAAAAACAAACTATATTCCACTTGGGAAACAAGGTGCATTTTGATGAGGTTGACATAAAAATAGGGCCTCTTAAGGCCTTTGGAAGGCCCTGGTGTGGGTTGAGAAACCTAGAGAAGAAGGAACAAGTCTCAATTGTAGAGACCCCCCCTGTCCTCACCTTCAGCTACTCTGAAGATAAGACCACACAGCCAAGGTCTATAGCAGTGAGCCTGGCCTCACAGGGGCCTCTTTGGATTTTTGTATCCCTAGTTTAAACTAAGGTTTCCAAGGGTGCCTAGTCCATAGGCTAAGCAATGAAAGCTCTGGAGATCAGGGAGAACAAAGGTGGAAACAAAGCATAGTGCTGACAGGGCCAGAGGATACTGGTGGCAGGCCTATAAAGAGGCTGCAGAGGACGTGGAACCAGATGGAGGTCCAGACTGTGCAGCCAGAGCTGGGTGAGTAGGGCCCGAAGGCTACCTTACCCTTTCGTGCCTTTCCCTGTAAACACTCACAGGAGGAGACTCAGTTTTTCTTTCTTGTAGTCAGAGTTTTCTAAAGCTAAAGAATAGTGGAGAGCTCTGGGAGAAGACAGCCTTCTCTTCTTGCCACTTGTATGACAATAATCACTGGTCCAGCATCAGTGACTGGAGGGAGGGGGACATAGGGCCCTGGGAAGAGAGCTGATTCCTGAGACATAGGAAGAAGAAGAAGGTGTAAGGAACAGGAGCTGGAAAATGTTGCTCATCCAGAGGTTCAGAATGGAAAGATGCATTGCAGAGATTACAAGCCTTAGGTCTTGGGCTTGATATCATTCAATGGGGAGAGCCAGGAACCTGATGCAGCCTTCCTATCTTCCTTCTCTACCTCTTCATTCTTTTCCCCTCTCTCACCTGCGTTTTCTTTCTCCCTCCCTCCCTACTTTCCTTTGTTCTTTCTATTATCTGTCCATGTAAACTTTGTAAGCCTCAGTAATTTCTTCTATAAAATTGAAATAATGACAGTACTTACTTTATAGGCTTGTTGTAAAGATTAAATGTATTAATGCATGAATAGCATTTAGAACAGTGCCTGGCAGAGAGTGAGCCGTTGTTCTGTGTTAGTTATTACAGCTACCCTTTTTTCTTCTCCCTTTTCTTTACTAAGTCTTTTCAACATTCCCTTCCACATACATGTGCTTTGAGTGACTGACTCAAAGGGCCCTGCCATTGAAATGCTCCCCCAGGATGTATTCAATAAGAACACTGATCAGTACTGGGAGGAGCAGTAGAAATCAGGGGAGAAAGTTAGTCACTGGCAGGCTGGCAAATGCAGGTAAGTCTATCTGATGAGGTGAAGCTGAGAGAGAATAGCAGCATGGTTCTGCACAGCCCCCAGTCAGTTTGAGGGCTATAAGGAGCCAGGTGAGGTAAGATTGTGAGGGTGAGACTGTGAAGGATTACAGCCCAGGCTGCTTATGAATTGGGACAAAATGAGAGACCTGGTGGAGCCCTGGAGCTACTGGCTGTGTGACCAAGCAAATGAGGGATCTGGACTAGAAGGTTGCCAAGGAGTTTATACTGGGGTATGTGAGCCTGAGGCAATACTGCCACCTGTAGGGGGTGCCTGGAGGCAGGTGCAAAGACAGAAGCTACATTTGTCAGTAGGTCACAAAGCCTGTGCTTTACCTGCGTTACTGCTTCTAGTTCTTACAATAACCCTGCGCATAGAGTTTTACAGATGGAAACACTGAGGCTTAGCTAATAAATGGCAGAGCCAAGATTCTATCCTATCTACTGAACTTCAAACCTGCTCCCTCCCCAATTCTAGAAACCTGTCACTGGTTTATGTTCTGTCTTCCAGAAACCCTTCCAACCATCAAGATGGCTCAGACCAACCCCATACCAGGGTCCCCGGGGGCCATGGAAGGTAAGCTCACCCCATCACATGGGAAGTTGAGGAATGGAGATGAAGACAGCATGAGTTATTGCCATAGAGCAGGCTCGAAGGCTGGAGTGCAGCTATGCTGTTCCATAACAGATAAAACACTACTATTCGTAGGGACGTGCTCCACTCAAAGTGCAGACACTGTTGAAAGACCTTTCAGAAGGACCCCTGTTACAGAAAGGAAAGATAACCCTGAAAGCCCATGAAGGGTGGGAGATGATACCTAGTCTCCCAGGTTAACTGTCCTCCTTAAAATAAAGTCTCCTTAAAACTGTCACCTTAAAATAAAGCAGTCCGGAGGGGACTGTGCCTGTGGAGAAACAGAAGACTCAGAAATAAAGAGAGATTTGCCACCAGACATCAAATAAGTAATAGGATTCAGGTCTTCTCCCAAGCTATGGGGTCCTGTGTGACGCTATAGGATAAGCACTGGACTTCTAACAAGATCTGCAGTTCAGACCCACCAGCCATGCCTCACAAATCTATAAAGGGTAGCTATGAGTTAGAATCAACTTGATGACACTTAATAACTCCCAGTCTAGGGTTTTTTCAGTCATTGGCTGAAGTGGCTGATCCTCGGGCTTTTCATTGTTTCCCCTTCGGATTCCATCTCTAGCCTCACTGGATCAACTCTGAGCTAGTTCACAGCTTGGGAAGTGGTCTCTACCCTTTGACCAGGTCCAAGAGCCAAGTTCTAGTTCAAGGAATAAAGAAGATTCATCTCCCTCTATACTTGCGGTTTCTATATTGGGGAAGTTAAGGAAAAATACACAAGGAGTTCCTGAGACTTCTGAGACTCCTGGCCTTTGAGCCATATTTAAGCAGAAAATGTGGTGACATGACAGTCTACATGGTAAAATCATCAAACTCTTGTCCTGTCCATTGGGTAGCTATCATCCCTGGGAGACTATTCCTATAAACCAATCCCCTCACACCTCATACTAGCCTGGGTACATGAAATCACCAACCAGTGATGTTCATTCAAACTCTTTCCTACCCTGTTTACACTGGAAAAGCCTTTATCAGGCCAACGTGGCATGGCCCTGAGAATCCTGGGCTATAGCTGGTACAGAAAACTCAGGGTCAGACACAAGTAAACTCTGTTCTTCCTGGTGTACCGAATTTTAGCTCTCTTGCCCCATTCAATCCCATTTCAGATAACCATTTATGATCAGAAGAACTTCCAGGGCACGAGGACGGAGTACACCAGCTCCTGCCCAAATATCTGAGCACAATAGGCCTCCACTGAAGTAATCTCAGAAGAACTCACAACATTTATTATTTAGTAACTCAAAGCTAGAAGGTTCTTAGTGGTTTGGTACTGGGCTTAAGACAGGACTAAAGGAATATGAATTGACATCTTCCAGCAAACTGATGCAGCATTGGAAGCGCTCATTCATCTATACCAAGAAATTTGGAAAATAGCTACCAGGCCAACTGATTGGAAAAGATCCCTATGTGTGCCCATTCCAAACAGAGGTGACCCAAGACCATGTGCAAACCATCAAACAATATCATTAATCTCACATGCAAGTAAAATTTTGCTGAAGATGATTTAAAAAATGGATGTAACAATACATTGACAAAGAACTACCAGAGGTTCAAATCAGATTCAGAAGAGGCTGTAGAATGAGGGATATCATTTCTGACGTCAGATGGATCTTGACTAAAAGCAGAGAATACCAGAAGGATGTTTACTTGTGCTTAATTGACTGTGCAGAGGCTTTTGATTGTATAGATCATGACAAACTAAGGATAACATTGTAAAAAATGGGTATTCCAGAATGCTTAATTGTGTTCATGGGGAACCTGTACATAGAACAAGAGGAAGTTGTTCTATTCAATGGTTTAAAATCAGGAAAGATGTGCACTGGGGTTGGAGCCTTTCATCATACTTGTTCAATCTGTATGCTGAGCAAATAATCCAAGAAGCTGGATCATATGAAGAAGAATGAGGCATCAGGGTTGGAGGAAGATTCATTACAATCTGCGATATGCAGATGGAACAACCTTGCTTACTGAAAGCAAAGATAATATTATTGAAGATCAAAGGAGCTCTGGTAGCATAGTGGTTACAAATCAGGCTGTTAACCTCAGGGTCAGCAGTTCAAAACTACCAGCTGTTCCGTGGGAGAAAGAGGAGGCTTTCTGCTCCCGTAAAGATTTACAGTCTTGGAAATCCTGTACAGGGTCACTATGAGTCGGAACCAACTCCATAGCACATAACAACAACAACATTGAAGATCAAAAACTACAGATTTCATTATAAATTGCAACTCAATGTAAAAAAAACAAAAAAATCCTTACAATTGAACCAGTAAATAACATCATGATGACTAGAAAAGATTGGAGTTGTCAAAGATGCCATTTTGCTTGGATACATAATCAACATTCATGGAAGAAGCCATCAAAAAAATCAAACAATGCCAGCCTGGAGCGGCTAGAAGAACAGAAGATACTTCTTGAAAGAAAGACCAACAGGAAAAACACAAAACAATAATGGCAGTCCGACTGATTACTACAAGAACAAGCAAGGTGCTCACCCAGGAGACATCAAGACAAGTAGACGGGTCCCCTCAGGGCAAACTCCCTTCCAAGACTAAGACTTAATGGGATTACATGCTCTGATTGGTGACCACATTCGTCACTGATAAGGGGAAGTGAGGGAAAAACAGCAATGAAGCTGCGAGCTAAGCCCTACAAGGTTCAATAGACTCCTTTGAACCAGGTGGAGACCTGGTTGGCCAGCAGTGTGGCAAGACCTGCGGACTCTTGGGCCCAGAGTCAGTGACAGCCACAAAGGACTAAAGTGGAGAGTGAAGTGTCCAGCTGATAAGAAGAGAGGGTATATGCATAAGAACACTCACACTTGTAGATAATACCCACTTGACCTGGCTTTAATGACTGGATGATCAGAGCTCAACTAGGAGAAAGAAGAGGAAAATAAGAGTAATCTGATACAATTTGATGAGCTTGACATACACCTATGGATGCAGAAGCTCAAAAGAGGGAACAAATCTTTACAGCAAGGATCATTCCCACACACTGAGAGGACAGGGATGGGCAACTTGGACATTGGCTACCCAAAATGGGGGGGGGGGGGCGGCTGCAGAGGGCCAGAGGAAGGTAGACTCTCCACTGAGTAGTATCCAATCTGTCTGGGCGAGGCTGATGAAAGGAGATGGGGATAGGTCTCTTGTGATACAATAGTGAATAATTGTTATCAGGACTGATTGTGAGGGTTGGAAATGTAAAGGTAGACGTTTTGCAGCAAAAGGAGGGGAGTGATTGACTTTGCAGTCTAGGAGCGGAGGTCTCTGGGACCATCAAGGGAGAAGAGTCGAGAGCAGGACCCTAACCAGAGAAGCAGTGATGCCAGAGATGGAGGCAGAGATGATGACGTGGAGAGATGGAGCGGCTGGGGATTTTAGACCCAGAGAGGGAGAGGGGCTCTGTTCTGATGACCAGGGGGCAGGCTTGCAGGGCATATACCCTTTGGTAGGTTGATGATTCATGGAGGGGATTGTAACCATGGCAATGAAATGATAGGATGAATGTAAAGATAATGTTCTCCCATGTAAACTATCACATAATTCACAATAAAACATTAAAAAAAAATCAAACAATCTATTACATTAGGCATGTTGTTGTTGTTAAGTGCCGTTGAGTCGGTTCCGACCCATAGCGACCCTGTACAGGGTTTCCAAGGGTGTAAATCCTCACGGGAGTAGAAAGCCTCATCTTTCTCCCGCGGAGCGGCTGGTAGTTTCGAACCGCTGACCTTAAGGTTCGCAGCCCGATTCGTAACCACTACGCTACCAGAGCTAAGACCTCTTTAATGTGGTAAAGAGCAGAGATATCAGTTCAAGGTGTGCCTGACCCAAGTCATGATATTTTCACTGTCCTCATATGCATGTGAAAGTTGAACAATGAATAAGGAAGACTGTAGAATTTATGCATTTGAATTGTGGTTTTGGAGAAGTATATTGAAACTACTATAAACTGCCAGAAGAACAAGTAAATCTGTGTTGGAAGAAGTGCAGCCAGAATGCTTCTTAGAAGTCAGGACGATCAGATTTTGTCTCTCATACTTCTGACATGTTATCAGGAAGGATCAGTTCCTGAGAAGGACATCATGCTTGGTAAACTGGAGGGTCAGTGAAAAAGAGGAAGACCCCCAACAAGATGGACTGACACAGTGGCAGCAGCAATGGGCTCAAATGTAACAATTGTGAGGATGGCAAAGGACCAGGCAGTGTTTCCTTCTGCTGTGTATAGTGCGGCTATGAGTTGGAACCGACTCGATGGCATCTAACAACATACCATTGATGAGGCAGTGATAGTAACAACATACCATTGCTTCTGGAAATAGAATATAGGTTGTATTCCTTTAGAACAGCCACAGGTTCTGTGAGCTTTCTTGCCTGCAGAGAATAGGTAGAGAGAAAACCCCTGAGCTGCAGACTTCTGCAGACTCTGTTAATGCCCCTCCTGGAGTCCTGGTGTAGTACTGCAGGATAAGCACTGGATCTCAAGGTCAGTTTGAACCACAAGGTCAGCAGTTGAAACTCATTAGAAGCTCCTCAGAAAACCTATACAGGTTGCTATGAGTTGGAACCAACTCCACGGCACGTAACAACAACAACAGTATGTCCTACAGCAGGACTGACAGCCAATTTCTCTGTGTAAAAGGGAACTCATTCCTATGACTCAAAAGCCTTATTAGTTCCCACTCACTTTTCCAGGGACTTCTTGGTTTTGGTCCATCTCCTTAACCAGGGAGACACATCTCTTGTTTTTGTCTTTGGATCTTTGTTCTTCTGATTTTGCAAAGTCAAAGGACTCACCTTTGGCCAATGCAGAACTGGCTTTGCAAACTAATTAACTCCTGTAAGTTGCTTGTCACCAAAGCTCTTCAAGCCTAAGGAGTAACACCTTAAATCAGTTACTAGTGAGACCTGACCGTGAAAATTTAATCTAAGGTGTTTCAATAAAAAAATGTAGGCATGAAGCAGCAGAAGGAAGGACGCATAAAGTGACAAGAAAACAAGAGACAGCTACCCATTCATCCCTCTACTTCCTTGGGAAAAAACCACCAGGTTTGGTTGGCTAGAGCCTGAACTTGGAGCCCTAAGCACAGAATGAGGTGACGTGGAGAGAAAAAAATATCAAACTTTAGCAGTTTAAATATCTGATTTTGCTAATACATTTCTTGAGTCAATGAAGCAGACGCTTCCATGGTTAGTCACAAAACATGTATCAGATTTAGAAACCTGCTTATAAATAAACCAGCTTATTCCCTACCTGTTACAATATATATTACCTTGTATGGCTTTAGGAGGAGTCCTGGTGTGGTGCTGTGGGTTTATGCACTAGACTGCAAAGTAGGTTTGAACCTCAAGGTTGGTGGTTCAAGCTCACCAGTTGCTCCTTGAAACCCGATACAGGGTCACTATGGGTCTGAACTGACTCAATGGTGCTTAACAACAACAACAATGGCTTTAGGAGTCCTGGTGTGGCACTGTAGAATAAGCACCACACCAAAAGTTTGAACAGCAAGGATTGAACTCACCAACTGCTTCTTGGAAACTCTATACAGAGTCACTTTCTGTCAGAACCAACTTAATGGCACATAACAACAATGGCTTTATTGGTATTAGCTTGGTATTTTACTCCACTGAGTCACTATGAGTTGGAATGGCAATTATGTAGTGTGGGATAATGTAGACTGCAAGGTCGGTACAGGGTCACTATGAGTTGTAACCAACTTGACAGCACTTAACAATTATCTAAAACTACGGATAACTTCTCCCTGAGGCCATATACATATCTTTGGCAGCTGGATTGGTCATGAGCATATCAGCTTCTGTGGACAGTAGTTTATCCTGGAGAGAGGAAAATATCCTCGCTGGAATGCCTGGAGCGGGCATAACACCTACCACATTGAGCGTCTCATGTCCTTCCACTCCATCTGTTCAGCTGTGAGTATCTGAAATTTCCAATTCTGTGCTTATAGGGAATGGGGAAAGAGACGGTGTGAACAGACTGACATTGAAGTCACTTTTTAATCAGGCTGAAATGTAGCAGCATGTAGGACAAAAGGAAATAAGAAAACCATTACTCCCCTTTCTCTAGGTCTGCCATTTGATTTTTCTCTACCAGATGGCATTTTGCTTGTGACAAGCTAAAAGTAAAGTCTTATAAATGGGAGAAAATGGAGATTTGAGTCCAGATCTTCAAAAGTTCTATATTAAGTCTAGTGAGAGTACTTACTATGTAAAAAATAAATCCTCAAACAGATAAATTTTAATCTGTACAACACTTTATTGCAGAAAACCAGGGAAATGCTGAGATAGCTTCAATAAGTGAGAACTAAAGAAATAAGCAAGTCTTCCAGTATCTTTGTTTTATGGTTTTATTTCAACAAGCATTATCCTATGAACTTGCGTAGAAACAAGTCTTTGGAAGAGTTCAAGCAAAAGTAGGATGACCTTCAGGGACATGTTGAAACTGATTCTTGTCTTGAAACTCCACTAGAAGCTTTCTAAATATTTAGTCTCTCTATATATCACGTGATATCCCCACACTTTTAGTTAATGGCCTTGCTTCAGTCTTACCAAAATTCTACTGGTGAAGTTTACCTAAGCAGCTGTAAACCTACAAAACACTGCCCTGTTTAGAAGTGATTTTTCTCTCATTTGAATTCCTTTTTGTTGTTGCTGTATCAAGGTATAATTTACATACAGTAAAATGCACAGATCTTAAGTATATATTAAGTGAGTTTTGAAAAATATATACATCCATGGAACAAACACACTAATCAGTGGGAACAAACACAGTAATCAGATGTAATCAAATGTAATCACCTCTTTAAAATTCCCTGGTATTTGGTTGCAATCAAGTATTCTCCAACCACCTTAACTAGGGTTAGTTTTGTGCTTTTGAACTTCACATTAGGCTCTGCTTTCTTAATGCTTGTGTAGTATTCTATATTATGTAAACAATTTAATTCAACCAGTTGTCTTACTGACCATTTAGGTTATTTCCATCAACGTGTGTGTATACATATATATACATACAGGGGCTCCATTCAAATTACTTCCACATACATCAGTTCTGATTAAAAAAGTTTTAATTGTTACCTTTTATTATCAGTACCTTTATAAATCCTATCTTTGTCTTGTTATTGCTGTTGTTAAGTGCCGTTGAGTTGATTCTGACCCATAGCGACCCTGTATATGGTTTCCAAGGAGCAGCTAGTGAGCTTGAACCGCCAACCTTGCAGTTCAAACGACTTTGCAGTCTGACGCATTAACTCACAGCGCCACACCAGGAGTTAGGGGTTGAAAACTTTACATCTTAGAATGTTAACATCAACAAATTAGCATAGTGCAACATTATATATAGTACATGTGCCGTGGAGTCATTTCCGACTCAGCGACCCTGTACAGGGTTTCCGAGGCTGCAAATCTTTACAGAAGCAGAAAGCCTCATCTTTCTCCTGCGGAACTGGTAGTTTCGAACTGCTGACCTTGCAGTTCGCAGCCAGACTCGTAACCACTACACTACCAGAGCTCCTTATAGTACGTTACTAAGTACCAAAAAAATCATGTGGTTTAACTCAAATATGACGTATAGTTTGTTACATATATGTTGTTGTGCCATCAAGTCGATTCCGACACATAGCAATCCTGTATAGGGTTTCCAAGGAGCAGCTGGTGAACTTGAACTACCGACCTTGCGGTTCAAACGGCTTTGCAGTCTGACGCATTAGCTCACAGCGCCACACATACCTCATATATATTTCTTGTATCTTTGATATGTAAGATTGGGCTTACTTTTCCTATTGTGGAATCTTTCTCTGTATATGTGTTTTGAAGTATTTTGTCTAGTTATTGTTTCCATTCTTTAAAGTCAGGCATTTGAATATTTTAAATGCCACTTCAGATTAAAGATTATGGGTAACTTTTTCTTGTAAATTTCTGTATTGTATGAATCTCATTACAATGATCATGTACTGATTTCTTAAACGGGAAACTAAGTATTTCCAATTTGAAAAATACAATGCAATTAAAGAATTAAGGTATGGTAACCTAAACACTAATAATATTTTTTGTGTAACTTATGGAAAACAGAATCATAAGGAGTCTAAAATAAACATCTCTGAAAAAGAAAATTTTATTGGACACCACTGGGTATCTGTGATGACTATCCCTCTTTACAAGCTATGGGTTGGTTCAACAATGAAGTCGGTTCCATGAAGACACAATATGGCGCTTTAAGTGCAAAAATGGGATTTGGAGCACACTTCAATGTTAACTCAAGTGCAGATGTTTGGATATTAACACATCATTGGTCATGTTTTATCCAATTTTATACACTGAGAACATATTCGTTCCCTGCATAGGGTTTCCAAGGCTGTAAATCTTTACAGGAGCAGAAAGCCTTTTCTCCCACGCAATGGCTAGTAGTTTCAAACTGCTGACATTGCAGTTAGCAGCCCGACTGGTAACGCTACCAGAGCTCCTTGCCGCTGCTCCTAGGAAACCCTATAGAGAGTAGCTGAGTTGGAACCGACTTGACAGCCCTTGGCAAGGAAGTGTTAGGGGAACATGGTGAATCTAGAATCACTGGGCTGAAAACAAGGTCGGTGGTTTGAGTCCACCAGCCCTACAGGATAAAAGATGAGACTTTCTGCTGCCGCGAAGGTCTATAGGCTCGGAAACCCTGTGCAGCATCGTTGAGTCGGAACCAACTCCACAGCACTAACAGCGGCACAGTGGTTACTTGCTCGGTTTGAACCTTCCAGCCACTCCACAGGAATTAAGATGTGATAGCCCTGTATGGGGCAGTTCTATTCTGTCCAATGGGGGTCACTGAAATCAACCAACTCCATGGCAATAGGTTAAACTTTTTAGCAAAAGACATTATCTAGATTTAGGGCAGCAAATGCATCCTGTACCGGACATGTTGAGCCTCACGTGTGGTGTTAAACCAGGTTCTAACTTGTTAATTAACCCAGAGCCCCACCAGGACTCCACCATCACATTAGTGATGTTTACTCAATGTTTGACCAAAATTTTTTAAATTGGGTAATTTTGTATGGCCTGCAAGGTTTATAAATTTTGGCAGAAAAAAAGTTCCCCACCGGTGACACCTTTGGTAAATGCTTGCTTTGTACTTCCTCTTTGTCTTGCCTGATCAAAGTGGGAATCCTGGTGTACCGCTGTAGGATAAGTACTGGACAAAGTCAGTTTGAACTGTAAAATTGACAGTTCAAACTTACCAGCCACTCCTTGACATTTCTATACAGGGTCACTGACTAACTTGACTGAACTAATAGGCCAAATGTTCAAGAAACAAAGTAGGTTAATAGTCCAGAATTAGTTAAGAGTTGAGGTTTTGTTTACTGGTATAGTCCCTGCCCGCCCGCCCCCACCCCCCTTGCGACAATTGTAAGCAAACCTTAGGTTCTTCAAATGTTTTCTGCTATATTTTATGCACACACACCATATACTTAACATTCTTGGCTTATTCTAATTGCAGGGTAATAAAGCTCAATTCCCTGCGCCCAAAATAAGCACTCACATCTGTATCCCCTATCCTGGTGTGACATTGCAGGATTACAAGGTTGGTGGTTCAAATTCACATCAGCCACTCCTTGGGAATCCTACATAGCACAGCTATCAAAAAACTGCATGTACATTATAAAAATACATTTAAGAATGAAATTCTTTGTACACTTAATCCTTTGAAAAAGTTATCCATGTCACACTAATTTAGTTTTCAGCAAATGCTTATAAGGCACACAAAGGATAACACCAACACTCAGAAACTTTAAAATTTTTATTCAACAATGTACACTTATTTTCTTAATTTGATCTACAAATTTATCTTTTTGATAAAATAAGTAAATCTGGGTATGGTTTTGTAGAGTGTTTGCAATTTATACTTTTTAAAACACTGAACATGAAGTAAGACATCAATAAAGGAAGATCATTATTTAACTGAAACTTCCTCAGAATCCATGACATCAGATACAGCTAGGGTAAATACCTAAGCATTCAGCAAAAGGGTAAAATTTCTGGTCACTGCTCTTATATCTAGAAAAGGTTTATCTTTATGATTGGGCAAAAAACAAACATTAAGACTTCTTTAAACTTTGGAAGAGGGAAGGAAAAACATCTTCTAGCACTGTAGTCCACTAGTTATCCTTTCCCCCAGATTAACAGGTTAACTCAGCTCCTAATTGCCTATGCACATAAAACAAATTTACTGTTCTCCATTATGTTCTGAGACTGAACTATTGACAGATGCTGAAGAGTAGCCACAACCTCTACGATAATGTGCTTGCTACACTCCAGCACTTCTGCCTTATAAGGCCATGCATTATGTGTCAACTTGGGTCTTGAATAGTTGACTAGTTTCTGATTACCACTATCAGAAGTTTTATTTTCAAAACCAACAACATACAACTCAGAGCATACTTGGTAACAGAGAAACAATCCTCTTCTATACATAAGAAAAACTTTAAATGGAAATATTTCTTCTACTTCTAGGAGCATGAGGGAAATACTTAGTGATAACCTCTAATTAAATTTACTAGCGTCTCCTACAAAGGTACTGAAAAATCTTTTAAAAAGATGATCTGACAAAACCTAGCCAGCATATCTACACAATCTTGTAAGTAAGTACACATACATATGTGAAATAAAGCTATTTAGTACATGCAGATTGCAGCAATTGAACCAAATGCGCCCAGTTTCTGAAATTGGTCTAATCAGCTTGAGCAATTTTAAAGATACACATTATCTTTAAAATAACCTGTGCTTTGATCTTTAAATAATTGAATGATTCTAATCAAAATCAATCATTCAAGTAAACCACATTTATGGTAGGAGCAATTCTACTTTATAACCAGTTTTAAGATATACAATTGTCACAGAGCTCCATATATGGCAAACACCCTTCATTTCAACTTGAATTATTTCCTTTTTCTATTTGATCAAATAAACTGAGTATTTAATAAGGAAGCAATAGCATCCAATGGTTTGTAAAGCTGATATAACTGCCCTGTTTCAAGAAAAGCCCTTTAATAGATACAAGTCTAGCTCTCGTTTGAACTGGTTTATTAAAATAGTGCCAGTTTTCGTTTTTCCTTTTCTATCTACTGAAAGAACCCAAAACTATTTTTGTTGAAAAATGTTTCCAAAAGATGGTTAAGCTAAGAACAGCAAAGTAATAACAGATAGGTCACTTTTGGTAATGACACACAAATTAAAACTTTCAAAACATGTGCATAGCTTTATTCATCTACTTAGAACTAACCTTTCCATGAAGCTTCAGCAAAATTCAAGTGTGCAAAATGCATTTCTAAAAGGTAATGCAAGCAAAGCTTTTCACATTTACACTGGCAGAAAATACAGATAAACTAACAAGTCACATTAGGGAGAATTGATTTTTTTTAATGACAAGAATTGCACAGTTCATTAATTTTAGACAGTTGTTGCAGACACAGATAATTAAAAATTTCTAAGCAAGGTGCTTTAACAATCAAAATTTTGAAGTTGGGAAGAGCTGATAACTCAGATGACAGCTCACATTGAATTCCAAATTAAAGTTGACTTCACGATATTCTTAATTTTGCCAACAATGACTTTGATAAACACTGTTTTTTAAAATACACTAAAGGAGATAGCAAGCTGAAATTATTTTCCAAAGCACACAAAAAATGGTGTCATCATGTTACTTGAAGGTGGTGAGGGAGGGAAAGGGAGTGAAGAATCCTTCTTATTTCCCACTATGCAACAGCCACTAACAGACTAAGAAAAAAAAGCTACCAAAAGGGGGGGAGGGAATGAAATCACTTCCCCAGTTTATGAAATAATTCCAGTTTGTAACAACATATTTAACTTTAAACACGAGCACCAATTGGGCAATAGAATAAACTTTTCATACTGCATGGAAACTAGTGAGGTGGTAAGAACTATCAAATTATCTCAATGATTACTACATGGCCATTCAAACAAAAATTTTCTTAAAAAATATACATGCAAGGCACATTGATATAAAAATAGATCTCTGGCCAACAGATATACCAAATAAGCAAATTAAAATTTTGGCTTTGCAATATTGGCAACATCAAAATATAACTAGTAGCTTTAGACCACACATCTTTCTCATATTCTCTATTACATTTGGTGTGCTCCTCCCCAGTCCCCACCTGGTTATTTGGGGTCCAATCTTCAAGTTTGGATATGTGCTTGAGAAAAAGACTTTTCCTCTTGTCAAATAGCATTTCTACTATACTTAGGTTTTCCTTTACTAAGTAAAAATATACTAGGAAAGCAGAATAGTGGGAGCTTTGATTGATTTGATAAAATTAAATCTGATAGGCTTGGGGCAGCATTATTTCTCTTCTGTACACAAACACAAAAATAAGACCCCAGCTTACACAGTAGACAATTGTTTTCTTTTTTAAAAAGATATATCAGCAACAAACCAAAGATCCTACTTCCTTTAAGCCATTTTTCCAATTCCTCTTTCTGAGGCAGAGGGACTAATAGAAACAAAGAGGATTTAAAAGATTTTCAGTAGTAGAAGACATTTTTAAGGCCAAAAGTGTAATATTAACAAAATTTATACTTTCCTAAGTTATTGTCCTTGATAGGCCAATACCAACTATGGATTAATTAGCTCTACTGATTAACTCCTAATGAGAATTTTAAAATTCATTCACTTTAGTTAGTGGCTGTGCTACAGGAAAAGTATCAAAGCAATCCATAAAGGGTCTGGTATATAGTAATGTAAAAAGTGCATCACATTCTTGATTTTCAGTTACTCATAGCAGCAGCAGTATTAATCCAAGACAGAAACAGTTGTGTTTTCATTCTAAAAATGCATTAACATCTAAATGAAATGTATTCAAGATCATGAAAGGATCCTCCTCTAAACAGGATAAATGAAATAGACAAACAAGGGCAAAGTAAAGGCATTCATTCATATTTACATATTAAAACCACATTTGTTAACACTAAATTTTTACAACTAGCAGTATCCATTTTTGGAGCTCTTGTTTAGCACCTGAGGAAAAAGGGTAATATGGAAAGCTATATAATTTACCTCAAGTTGGTTTCTTGGTCTGCAATGTACAACAACTATGATACACGATAAAGTGAAACTGAATTGAAAACTAAGTATTCGAAGCTATTTTAATAAGGCTGTAGAAAAAGGATACTGTAGTATTATAAAATGGCTTTATAACTCGACATAAAAACAAAGTTTTATGGATAAATAGCTAAGTTAGAATTAGCAATTCCATCACATGTGAGGATGGTTCCCAAGTGTTTCTAGCCCCTGACTGCAGTTGACTCCCCAAAATGCAAAGCACTACAGCAACATTTGTGTTTCACCGGGAGTTTTTATTATGCAGACAACCTAAATGCTATTCATACTATTTCTGGCACCCAACTACTTTAAGATCTTTCTTGAGTAGCAAAACAATGTGAAACCTAATTTAAAATTTAGTAAAGAAAGCAGTGCTTTTGAGTGGAACCAATGATCAATCATTCTTTAAATCAAGCCAGGGTGGTCCTTGTTCATATACATCTCAACAGCCGATGTATGTTTAAAAGTTAACAGTTTAATATATTCAAAGCAGAAGCCCATCTTTTACACACTAAAAGAATCCTGGTGCTCTGTCAGTTGCATTAACAAAAACAACAGTGTCATTAAGAATACCAACCTATGCATGTGCCTGTGCAAACTTATAGCAGCTGTTTATGCTTCTAGTCTTGTCACCTGGCCCTCCCCTGCTAAACAAAATCAATACTTGGGGAAGGGAGAGGGGAGGAGCATTTCATATGGCCTATCCTTTAAAAGTTATAGGTAAGAATACAATCCTATCAGAATCTACCCCAAATGGTGCAGCATCAACAGTCCTGATTATAAAAACTACTGTCTATAACATATATTTTTCCCAAAATAGCTTGTCTGTTTTACACAATTAGCATTAAGTATATAAGAGGGATCATGTGTTATTTGAAGGTATGGCCTAAAGGTTCAACTACACCCATAATCCTTGGAAACTGTATTTTCTCTGAAGGAGCAAAAGTCTTGCAGAGTGGATTTTCAAACCAAGTAAAGACCTTTTCCAAATTTCTTTGTGGTCATTTAGTACATGATATACAATTTCACACTAAATGGCTCTTTTAAAAAAAAGTTTACAGCAATTACAAAAGGCAAAAGTAAACCATTAGACACCTGTCATGTGGGTTAGCAACAAGCCTAAAAATGAAGTATGAAAACTACCGCTGCTATGCAATGTTTTGTGAAGGAACATATTTTGTATTGTGAACAACTCCCACAGCTGACATTTGTCATAATTCTCCTAAAAAAGTGGTATTTGAAAATAAAAATGCAGCACTTCTTTTCCCTTAATTTTTTGTAGATTCTGAGTGATGACTAGGTAAGCAGATAATTGAGGACAGCAAAATTCTAAAACAGATATCTCTCAAGACATTTATTTGAAGAAAAAACAAGTTTTCAGCAAATTCCTAGTAATTGGCTATTCCCTTCCCTTAACAGAGGTGGAGGAAGGGCTAGTACAGATGTTATAAATATAATAGTTTAAAGGTTCCTTATTAAGGTTAGAGGAAAAGGCTATGCAAGTAATTCAGTTCAGAAAATGGGGGTGAATAAAGAGAAAGATAAATACACCCTGTCTTTTGTGGATAAAGGGAACTAGTCAATACACCTACAAGTGGTATGTGACACGAAAGCCTACTATCAAGATAAGACTTAAAAAGAAATCTTCACCCATAATTAGTATCTTCATAGCTATTAAAAAAATAGGTCATGATTTCGCTCTTAGTGCCATTTTTCAAATACTACTCTTTTAAGGATTAAAACCGCCTAGCTTTATTCTGTGTAATGAAAACAAATGGCACAAAATAAATACAAGTTCATTTTCTGAATACTAATGTCTTACACACATTCATTTACTTCCCAATTTTTATTATCCCCCTCTTTCCCACACATACACAAGCACTCAACATACACACACACACACCTTTTTCAGTCTTTATAATGGAGGGATGTTAAAAATCCCCTCTAGACTGTATTTGGTTTATGCTACAGTACTAATACTCTGAGTTGAAGGAAAAATTCTTTACACCCAACAATAACACATTAATGTTACTTAAATGTGCTAAATTAATCACAGCTGAAGTTTTGTTTTTTAAAAAGAAGCTTACACAAAAATAATCAGAAAACAGATCAACTCTTACGATTTTGTTTTTTTTTTGTTGTTTTTTTTTTTGTTTTGTTTTTTTAATAAGTGCTCTGTAAGGAATTGTGTGAGGACCTAAGGAGAAAGATTTTGACAAGTAGAGAGTTAAGTGTTACAAAACAGCACAAAGGAGTTTTGTCCCAAAGTTCTGCTTGTACCTAGGCAATTAAATCCATTAACCCAATGCCCCCCAAAATACTGACACTTAATATGATAGGGCAGTAGGGGTCCCAGAAGGTTAAAAAGACAGTTGTAACTAAATACCTCTAACCATATAATCAAGGAAACTTCAGTGGAGAAATTAAGTGAAATGTTGCATTGTTTCATTTAGAAGAGAGATTCTCAAAAACCTTTGGACAAACAGAGTAGGAAATGAGTTCTTTTTGACTTCTCTGAATATAGAGGCCTAAGCAATATTGAAGGGAAACAGGAAAGCCAAGGCTTTCTACTATAGTTTTATTTTTGTTTGTTTTGATAAGCTATTGCTTCTAATCTTTTTAAAAAGCCCAATTCAAATATGGGCTGTTTTGTTGTTTGTTTGCTTGCTTTTTAAATATATGTTCTTTCAAACCTCTGTATATCACAAACCCAGAAAGTTTCCTATGAGTTGTGAGAGCCAGATGAGCTTAAAAATTCCAAGCAAAATGGATGTTAAATAATAGTAATAATAATAAAAAGAATCTGGCCCTAAGGCGACAAGTGGTTTACACAAGGCAATTGAACACACAGAACTTTAAAATCTATAAAACAAACTGGAGCTATTTTTCCCCTTTAATAAAAAAAAATTTAACGTAAAACTTTTTTAGTTAGAAAAACAAAACAAAACACAGAAACACAGACTTCTTTCACTTCAGTATGTGGTTATGTTGCATTTTCCAGTTTGTTCAATGCTTTAAAGCTCAAGGATGTCTCTGCTCTCAATTGTACATGGACCTGAAGCATCCTAGCTTTCAGCAAGCAGGCAGGAGACTCAACAGAAACCAAATAGGAACAAGGCAGACTAAATGCAGGACACATCTGTAAACATATTATACATTTGAAAATTACAATATCAGTAAAAGTGATACAGTTTACAGGTGAAATGAAACTATCTGGAACTGGCCTACCACAAGTTTCTGAACCTGGACTGAAACAATAAGTTATATATATTATGTATAAAAAAGTTTTGCTTACATCAAGTGGAATTGGCAATCCATGCTTATACTTTAAAAATCTATGCAGGGCAGAAATCCAGACTGAAGATATTTTAAATTCTTTACTGTATGTTGAATCTAACAGCTTCTTTCATGAACTACTTATTAGCCTCAAATAATCAACAAAGCAAGAAATCCATTCATACTACAGTCTCTCTAAACAGGACAATTCTTAAGCCAACTGGTAGAACAAAAGCAGTGACCGTCTCCCCTAAATACCTCAGGGGATTCTGTCTGTACTTTTATTAGAAGATAACACACCTCATAAAAACATGCCCTGCTATCTTAAAACTATTTAACATACATGGATATGCTAATTTCTCTGTGTGTGATGTGATGCTATGTCAGGCCAGAGAACTTGTTTTTATGCCACTAACACCACCCAACCTTAAATTGGACCCTCGGTTTCAGCACACACTGAAAAAACTTCTTTTAGCATGCTATCCATAAAAGCTGCAGTGCAACAGGATGGCAATGTGATAAGACAGGGTTTGCTCTTCTCTGCCCAAAGAAAAATTTCTAAATTTCACATTTTTTGCCTTAAAAACCCATTTTGCTCTAGTAATAAAATATATTAAGATAGAAGCTAAAAAGCTCAGAAGTATAGTTAGCATGAAAACACCTTCTCTAGGCAAGGTTTATTACCTCCTCATTGGCTAAAAATATGAACATTTTTTGTTTCATATGTCTTTTCCTTCTTCCTCTTTTTGATTTTTCTGAGAAATTAAAAGGGAGAGACTTTACAGAGAGATACAGTAGTTCCTCTTCAGATGTTTGATGAAAAACAAGGAAAACAGCACATTTAGTGTTACTGAGAGAGAGCAAGTCTGGAGCACCTACAGTTGAAAAGCAAAATGTTTTTGCTCCCAGTTATACAATTACATTAAAATATGGGAATTGGGGTATTTTTCTCATATTAAATACCTAAGCCAATCGCTTGTTCTGCAACTTTTAAAAAATGACTCTCATGGATTCTTCAGTTGTAAAAGTCCAATGTGTAACCAAAGCCAAGTGAATATGCATGTACCACCAACTATTCCAGAATTGTAGAATTTTAATGCCCTCCCCCCTAACCCCACCCTACAAAAAAATAAAAGAAAAAGAAAAGTATTTCCCCAACACCCCACAGAGGCTGAGCTTAACTCCTGGCAAGACATGCAAATCATATTCGCTAAAAAAATATACCCCTGCAAACTTCAAGGCATTTATCCAGCATTCTCGCAGGGTTCAAAGTACAACCAAAAGATCAAGGGCGGAATGGGGAAATGTTGAATCATTCTGGGTTCCCCGTGATTAGTGTATCATTTTAGTCACAGAACAAGATACAGAAATCTTTTAAGTGGATTTGCCTTTCCAGTGGGTCATTTGTTGCCCAAGTTGATGACAGCAGGAACTTTAGAACCACACTTAAGTCTGTATTCATTAATCACTTGCATTCACTCTTAAAAACAAAAACTAACAAAAGAGGGAGGAGAGAAAAACTATTCGGTACCAAAGATTAAATAACCATGTGTAGTCTCTTGAAATAATTTTTTGATTCCTTAAGAAGTCTAATTACTTTCAGTTGCCTTTTTTTTTTTAAATAACTATATATATATATTTATATATATATATATTTGTATATATTATCCTGTGATTCTACTTATGGTTCCTCTGCTGTGTTGAAGATCTAGGAGCATAAAAAGCCTTGCGTCCCCCATGAACGGTGGCTCTAATGCTGCAGAAAGATTACCAATAGGCAGTCTGGTCCTGCTACCTTCATTGATCTGGACTATCCATGGCTTCATTGTAAGTGATTATCCTTTTGGGATCTGGAGGGAAGGTTAAAAAATACATACATAAAAATTAAAATAAGGTCTGGCTCTCAAAATGCCCATGTGTCTACTCCTCCTCCCCCCCAAAACCTTCACCATGTACGTAAATTAGCTCTTCTTCATGAAAACACAATTTAAAAGCCATGTCCTCTTTGAATTAATACATGTGGATCCATGTTCAACCCAAAGGTAGTTAAAGATTCAGATACCCAGCAACAGGGTCTTACAGCCAGTCATGGCTCCAACATGTAGAGATGGTTGAGTTAACTAGGGTTTTCTATGTGTTTATTTATTCAGTGGTATCTTTGAAAAAGTGATCAAAGAAATAACTCAATAATAAAACACTTGGATGTTATTTTCTTTTGTTCTTTCCAGCAAAACAAAGTAAAAGATTTATTTCAACTAGTGTGATGAATTGTCTAAGCAAAGATTCCAGGTGCTACTCCTTTTTTTTTTTTTTCAAATGAAATGTTTGGTATGTTTAGTTTTCATAATCTATAACATCAAGTAGATAATGAATGACATAATCCAAGTGGGAAAAGCTGCTCTTTTTTACATTCAAGAACAGGATTTGACATTATTAAAAAAATAATAATTTACTGACTTAAAAAAAAAAAAAAAAAAATACAGAAAGCAACTCAGCTTGTTTATCTTTAAGCCACAGCTGTTGGACAACAAGAGTTCCCCCTAATATAATAACAAGGAAGAGGTGAAAGTGCAACGTTGGGAAATCAAGGAAACCTACATTCTAGCCCTGCCCCGGCTCTAGTTTATATATTAACATTTTGGCCCTCAGTCTCATAATCTGTACGATAAAATTAAAGAGTAATTCTAATGTCCTTTCTAGGAATTTCACATTTATCTTAAATTAACTTACACTAACAAAGTGGACAAGGAATGGGATATAGTTCAGCTATATAATTTTGAAAACCTACATCTATTTGTCATTGACTATTAGTGCCCAGTTAGTTTCAACTCATAGCAACTCTGTATAAGGTTTCTGAGAAGCAGCTGGTGGGTTTAAACCATTAACCTTGTGGTCAACAGTACAGTGCTTACCCTACAACATCACACCAGAATTCTCCAAATCAACATTAGTAATTATTTCAGGTATTCCACAACTACCATATATCTAGAAAGAAGTCACATAGTAATTAGGGTAACCATTCATTAACCAATCTTAATCTTTATTTGCAACTCTCTTTTCAGATAAAGTTTCTGTAATAGCTAATATTTTTCTCAACAATGAATCTCAGTTCTTAGACTATCCCCTTGTGTTCCTTATAAATATAGATAGTCTGGCTACAAATGGAAATACTTATTCTTGTTGGTTTCCTGAATTAAAAACATTTAAGCCTATCTTAGCTTCATAATCCGGAGAGAAAAAATAAAATCATTTTCTTTTCACTAAGTGCTACCCTGTCCTTAGCAATTCTGGTATGGTAACCAGTGCCTTTTCACTGAAATTAAAAATAACTCAAAATATAAAGTCTATTTATTTGGGAAGCCACACTATTGGTCTGTTACTCCCACCCAACAAAAATGTTCAGTGATTAGTGACTAGTACTCCTACATTTCCAGGCAACACAACTATTCTTACCTTGCTTCTGCAAATTCCAAATAGATTCCATTTCTGCAAAGAGAAAAAACAAAACAACAAACAAAAAAAGATTATTTTACACACTAGGTTTTAAGAGAGTCAAGTTTAAAGAAATGTTCTTTATTTTAAGCCTAACAAGCCTAAACATATTATTGCTGGACTAAAATAACATAGTTATATGAAACTCAAGACAAAACCCTTATATTTTCCTAAACTCTTAAAATTATGATCCATATGGTCTTAATATCCAGACTGTCTAAAGTGTAAAAGAAAAGTCATTTATTATCTGAAATCAAATGATCACAACATTTTTGTCTTTGCAAATAGCAAAGATATGCAGAAGCATGTTATAGACAAAATGTTATTTCTTACAAGAGTTCACCTTTATTAAAAAACATTAAGTAATTTTTTGGCAACAAGGTGCCCAAGTCTGCTGAATCAAATTTGATTAAAGCATTCATCAAATTTGATTAAACACTTGGTTTAAAACTTTTTAAGTGGTAAGTGGTTGATTTCCCAACTATGCCCTTTGTTGTTGTGAAGTGTCATCTAGTTGGTTCCAACCCCTAACAACCCTGTATAGGGTTTCCGGGGAGCACCTGGTGAGCTTGAACCGCCTACCTTGCTGTTCAAAGGGCTTTGCAGTCTGGTGCATTAACCCACAGAACCACATGAGGACTCCCCTCCTATTTTAACTCATATGGTCAATTTATACTCATGTACTAGGTAACACACAATCCTCATTTGCTCTAGTTTCATTTAAAGTGTGAATGTCTACAATGTATATATTAGCTTATTTTAGCTTCTAATGATAAGGGAAATATAAATATGTACGTGATCAAACTGCTAGGGAACACACAGAGAGGTAAGAACTCTACTTTCTCTACATTAAGTGTAGAAGAAAGCTTCACAGAATGGGATATTTGAAGTCTGGATGAATAAGGCAGAAATAACTACAAACACCAAATTAGATCTTGAAAGGAAACAATACACTACTACACAATTAAAACAAAAACTTACTTTTAAACTATATAACACTGAGGATAAATGCTCTTTCTAAGGCTATTTATAACTATCATTTTGAAAGAATAAAAAGATTTACTCTAGGTAAGTAATTACCAGATTCTGTATAAAACCATAGCCACTAATTTTGATAAATAAAAATAAAACTGAACTCATCAAGGTGGACTATTATCTAGAAATATGCTGCAGTTAAAGAAGTAACATAATCCTTAGGATTAAAAGAAAACATGCATGTAAATCTAAAATTATGACTTTTTTGGTATACTCACAGGGGGCAAAGGGTGGTAGAATCATATTTCGTATAACGACCCTCACAAAAAAAACCAAACCCACTTCTAAAATTGGTTGTTGTTGTCATTAAGTGCCATGGAGTTGATTCTGACCCATAGCGACCCTGTATAGGGTTTCCAGGGAGCAGCTGGTGAGAGCTTGAACCACTGACTTTGCAGTTCAAACAACTTTGCAGTCTGATGCATTAGCCCACAGTGCCACACCATGACTCCAAAAATTGGTACAAGATATTAAAAACTATAAGTTTGTATCTAAAGTCATTGAAGTCATTATCGAGATTAAAAAAAAAAAAAACATTCAAGCAGTCAACGGTGTATAGATAAAATGAGATGACTAAAATGATACGACCTTTAACTTGTACCAATCACTTTCCTTAGAAAATGAACTTGTAATCCTCAAACACAATACCATTTCCCTGACCTAAGATATTCTAAAACTCTCCTAGGCAACTTCCACTTTTTAAAATACTCACAGACTAACCTTACCTTCACACTACCTTACTTAGGGGCTTCAATGATCCAACTGCATTTTGTATAATTTTCTACTGCTCTTTCATGTACATTTCCCTATTAACCTGCATTCTTTAGTGACATAAACCCTTTTTCAGAAACTTGTCACCACTGCTTTATATAATGCTTGGTTCAATAAATTAACATTTGAATGAAGACTATTCATAAATCAGTCTGAAAAATATATTACAAAGATAGGTCCATCTAAAATTACTGATAATAAACCTTTTGACTCACAAAACCCAACAATTTCATATAGTTCAGCCAACTAGATTAAGCATTTAATCCTAAACCCTTCTTAAAGGGAACAAAGCAAAACCCCAAAAGCTAAGAGAGCTAAACATCCACTACAGGCTAATCCATTCTTTGCCTTTAAAACTGAAGAACAGATGGATACTATTGTAAAAACATTTACAAAATCAACATCTACTTTATGATTTTAACACATAATGGCTTCCCCAAACAGATCAAATGTTAAGGCCAAGCAAGCATACTCCCACAATTTGAGAACCTCCAAATCCATTTTCCACTATTGGTCCCTTCCAATTCTTTAGTTGTTAAAGTGCCGTCGAGTTGTTTTTCAACTCATAGTGACCTTATATAGGGTTTCTATGGAGAACCTGGTGGGTTTGCAGTTCAGTGCTAATCCTACAGTGCCACACCAGTAACTTCATAGGATAGAGCAAAACTGTCCCATAGTGTTTCCTAGGCTGAAATCTTCACAGGAGCAGAGATTGCCAGGTCTTTACTCTCATAGAGTATTTGGTGGGTCCGAACTGCAAACCTTCTGGTTAGCTCAACCATCACACCACCAATGCTCCTTAGTTTGACTATACCCAAAGACAAATAAAGCACATTTCAATTAAATGTAACTCAGGAGGAGTCCTGGAGTGATGCTGTGGGTTAATGAGTTAGACTGCAAAGCCGTTTGAACCGCAAGGTCGACGGTTCAAGCCCACCAGCTGCTCCTCGGAAACCCTACACAGGGTCACTATGGGTTGGCACTTAACAACAAGGGTGGTTAGAGACTCCTGGTGTGGCACTGTAGGATCAGCACAACACTATGAACCACAAAGTTGGAAGTCCAAACCCTTGAAAACCCTATCTATACAGGGTTCGCTGAGTTGGAACTGACTCGACAACACTTAACAAAAACAACAAGGTGGTTATAAGAGAAGTCATCAACTTTTCATTAGATGCTTAACAAATTATTAAGTAAATCCATTTTAATTCTGTATGTCCCAATTTGTAGCTACATGAGATTAAAATATAATTGCCTGGACCATCTGTAAATATACACAATGGTTTCAGCAATTAAAAGTCTTTAAAACTCACAATTATTCTTTTTTATTTTGCTCTTTTCTACAGCATCACTTATTCTTACCCAGTTCAATTTATAAAGCTAAAATAACAAATTCAAGCTGCTCAGAATGTAACTGCTGTGAGAGTAGACAGTTTCTGCTTTTATAGTACAGGTGGTTAGTTCTTTCCTTGGGGCAAAAACTCAAAACTAGTATAATCTAGGAAAGGAGCTCTGGTAGCATAGTGGTTACGAATTGGGCTGCTAATCTCATGGTCAGCAGTTCGAAATTACCAGCTGTTCCATGGGAGAAAGATGAGGTTTTGTGCTCACATAAAGTGGGGATACTAAATTGGTCTATCTTTGGGAAAAGTTTTGTTTTGTTTTTGCCATATTAGACGTATCAATTTCTATATGCTCCAAATTTACGCTGCTGTTGTTAGGTGCTGTTGAGATGCTTTCAACTCATAGCATCCCTATCTATGTACATAATGAAACACTGCCTGATCCTGTAACATCCTCAAAAACTGTTGTTTGACTCCACTGCTGCTGTTATGCTGACTCCATTGCTGCCACTGTGTTGTTAAGTGCCTTAGAGTTGGTTCTGACTCAGCAATCCAGTATAGGGTTTTCGAGGAGCAAATGGCAGGACTCCCTCAATATTATTGGAGGTGGGGGTAAGGACCCTTGTTGAATCTAGGAAATTTAACCAACGATGAAGAAAAAAAAAAAAAGGTTCATCTTAAAATGGTCAAACTTAACAGGCATATGCTATTAAGATTAAAAAGACAGCTGTGACACCACAAAAAAAAAAAAAAAAATCAAGGAAAAACTGCAATTAAATGCAGTAAATATGAAATTATTAAGCACTGAAAGAAAATATTTAGATCCTTCTGTGACCAAATGTGCTAACTGTATACTTGCTCCCATCAACATTTTATGTATTAACCATTGTTGTTGTTAAGTGCCGTCGAGTCGATTTCGACCCATAGCGACCCTGAACAGGGTTTCCGAGGCTGTAAATCTTTACGGGAGCAGAAAGCCTCATCTTTCTCCCGTGGAGCAGCTGGTAGTTTCGAACTGCTGACCTTGTGGTTCGCAGCCCGATTTATAACCACTACGCTACCAGAGCTCAAGAAATATTTATGTATCATATCAGTTCTCATGTCCTTTCCCAATCTAAAAACCACTTACATTTCTGAATGTTTATTTTTATATAGGTAATATCAGTTTGAACCACAAGATCAGTGGTTCAAACTCACCAGCCACTCTTTGGAAACCCTATATTGAGTCCGTTGTGGCACTTAGCAACAACATGGTTGCAAATACAAAAAGGAAAACCTGTTATCTCTGCTTGAACTATTCCAAGAGTCTTCTAGCTGATAATCCACCTCCAGTCACCAGAAAAATGGGCTTCCAATGTGGCACTGTAGAATCAGCACTGGACTGCAAACCAACCACAAGGTTGAAAGTCTAAATTCACCAGCTGCTCCTCAAAAACCCTACAGGGTCATTATGAGTTGAAAAAGACTAAAGCACTTAACAGCAATTCCACAGTACAAGTTGGTGCCCCATTAATCTCTGCAACACAGCCAAAAAATTGACAAGTCAATTAATACCAACTCAGTTTTCAAAGCATTTGTGTATAATCTTTTAGGACCAAACAAAAGCTTACTAATTGCTGTCATGTCGGTTTCCATTCATAGTAACCCTATACAGGATTTCCAAGGACCAGCTGGTGAGTTTGAGTGCTTATCATACAGAGCCATACCAGGACTCCAAACAAAGGCAATCCTTCATTTATAAAATTAGGAAAGCAAAGCTTAAAAATGACATGATTTGACAGAGTACATAGTAATTGGGATTATCCATTACACTCCATTAACCCATCTCTCTGATATTCTGTCTGC